CCCCCCCACGATTCCGAAATAGGAAGGGGTTGTTTTGCTCGCAGAACGAATCAGCAGCGTGTGATTTTGATATGAAATTTGTCTATTTGCTACCTGGAGGCTCTACTCATATGTATACCTTTTGGCGTATTGTACTGAGTAAACTTAAATTGTGCTTTTGTATTCCAGGAAAGTATTATCTCGGAGACGCAGGATATGCAATCACCAAGTATACATTAACACCGTATCGCGGGACACGGTATCACCTTAAAGAATTGCAGAGGGATCACAAAAACCACAAACGAAGGAGGAGCTGTACAATCTCAGACATTCGTCACTACGAAACGCCATCGAGAGGACCTATGGAGCAGTAATAAAAACGTTCTTGATTCTAAAGGCGATGCCATTACGCCTTAAAAGAGTATATAGGAATTGTTCAAGCTATATTTGCTCTTCATAATTTCCATCAAGATGACTTTGCAAACGTTGACGTGCCACAATTTAGCAGCGAAGAGGAAGACGACACCAGCCGGTCCCTCCCTGAAGAGCCGAACGACAAGGCAATGGAAAATCTGAGCGACGTGATAGCGTCCAAAAAGTGGTGTGACTACTTAGTACTTCTTGCAGAGCGACATGGGGAGAAGGTTGTAAAGCGGCGGTAAGGCCTTCACACAGACCTAAATAAAATACCTTTTTACAGGATACCATGGTTTGATCAGCCAAAAGAATCAGCCAGACAAGGCCACAAATCAGCAGAAACTGTGTACTGAACACGATAGATTATTGACAAATCAGCTAAAATAAATATATCAGCGGAAATGGACCAAATCAGCAGTAATCAGTGTCTACTGAACACACCCTGTCGTTGCAGGCACAAAGTAATAGTTTGCGAGGAGATTGGTTTTCCGTCGTCTTCGTTCCATGAGTACATACTATGTTGGGTCTTGCGTCTGAATCTCCACGAGAACCGCAATTGTGTGAGGAAATGAAACACTACGCTGATACAAAACTTGCGGAGGATTCAGCTATTTTTCCGCTTACACTATTCGCGTTTATCTGCAAAAACGTCAATGGCGGTGTGTTTCATCGACCACCTTCGACACAAGAGCAAGTGCAATCATACACGAAGAGATGGCGTGAAAAGCATCGCGACGATACAGAGCAGTGGGTGGTCGAATTTGGTGCTCAAGCTATGTACAGTTTGGAGCTAGTTGAAAATCGGAATAGTAATGACCGCTTGGTGTTTTGTGATCTTGCTGAGGAAGATGGGCACATAGTAACGTTTGTTGGAGAAGGATCAGATACTTTGCCAATGCGCGTTGGCATTATGTGTTATCCGCTATTGGAGGCCTACATTGCAGTGCAAAGTGACCTCCGTTGCACAATCGTTTTGCACGTTGACAGCCCACATATTACAGTGATCACTTGATATCAGATATTCATACATAGAATTTCTGATCCGTATACTATCGCGCGTCGGACCGGCGAGCAGATGATTCTGCGTGGATTTCAGCGTACCTGCAAAGGGTCCTCTGTGAACGCTTTGCTGTTGCGTTTGAGCCTAGATATTAGCTGAAGCGCAGGCAAAAATTCTGAAGTCCAAGTTGAAGATCCACCCAAATCGAACGAGATGCAGGCGAACGTGGGTCGTGCTACCGGATCGTGGCGAGGCTTCGGACGATAGCCGTGGGACACGCTCCAGGTACAGCTACCAGATCGACGGAGAGACACAGATGGCTTGACGTCGCGGGAACGGCTCTACGCCGTCACGATCGACGCGATTGGAAGGGGATGGGGACAGAGAACAAGATTGGAAATGAGGATTTCGATATAGACAACGTAGAAAGCTACTGATGGCTGAAGACCGACGACTGATGGAGATGTACTAAGGTGCGGCTGAACCCAGAAATATGTTGCGGACCACTGATAGATAGGCTGATCTATACACTAACACGTACAGTTACTGTACATGTTAATTACATTCTCGCGAGTGTGTAGTTACTTAAGGTTACATGTTTATGTCATTAGAAACCTAATAAAAATTTCGACTGGGGCCAGTTATGAGCAGGCCTCTTCTATCTAGGCAGCACAGCCTAAAATCCTATCCGTTCTTCCTCTAGGATATTTCATGCCTATTTCGCTAGTCGATATAGGATTATATTTAATATTGGTTTCAGTATTGGATCAGTGGTTAAATGCATGGAATGCCTAGAATCTGCAGGGATCACTTTTCTATGGGGGATCTAGCCCCAACGGAGTTTGCGAGAGAAATCAACTCAAAGTACTGCTTTGCTTGTAGCTGACCTTCTAGCGCGTAGTTAGACAACGACCCACGGTGGGCGCTTTTGACCCCTTTAAGTGAGCTAAAGTCACCTTCAACGGTATGAGTGCCAGGTGGAATTGAGGCCAGTCCCAGTGCAAACGAAACTAAGCGAGTATACTCGCCTTTTGCATCCACAAGCTTCCACGCCTGGACTATATCTCTATTGCACGACCTATCGACGATGTCCTTGAAGGTCGAGTCGAATTCGTACGTTTCTCTCAGCTTGCGGACTTGCTTCCAAATACAACTAATTACACCACTTCCGTATTGACGTCTGAGTCTGTTCCGGTAAGGAAGTATCAGTTGTCGGAACTCCGTCATGTCTTCCATAGCGATTATATCGATTGGCGTTGTAGATGTTGTAGCTGTTATTGCCCCTTTAACTTCGATCTTGATCTCGTTAATACCCGTAATAAAGCCGGTAATTGCATTCGAAAGACCATTTTCTAGACGGTGCTGTTCAATTTCATCGATTTTCTCATTGTACAATGCCGAAGAGTACAACGCGGCGTTTCCGATATGTTTGGCGACCTTAAAGATACTGACAGAGGCATCCTCACCTTCAAGCTGCTCTTCAAACTTCATCTGGAAGTACTTCACGAGGTACTCCAGTGCCTCGTACTGGTCCTTCATCGTAACTGTCCTGTACTGCATAGATCGGAAGCACTGTTTGATCTTCTCTACCAGCTCTCCAATAGCAAAAAGGATCAGCCACCACGAGCTGCTTGGTGCAGTGACGCCTTTTGTCTTGTGCAATTGCATAATTTCTTCGTAGTTACTTGAGAGAAAATCACAACACTCCGAAATCGATTCCCAACGCGTATTTGCGTATGTTGGACATATACCTATACACGAGCGTACACTTTCAAACTTCCTCGTAAACGTAATCTCTGCGCCGAGGATAGAACGGAAATTAACTAAGTCAATGAGAGCATCAATGAAAACACCCACAGCCAAGTTAAGCTGGTGACTACCGCACCAGTTAACGGAGACGCCGCCTTCGCCCAGGTCACCGCACGCCTGCTCGATAAGCTTGGCAAATCCACCGTGGCACCCCAACATCGTGGCTGCTCCATCACTGGTTATTCCAATCAGTTTCCTTAGCAAGTTGTCATCTCCGAGTTTACTCAGCACTACGAGCACACGTTCTGCATAGTTCACAGCCTTGTGTGAAAGATTGCCCATAGGTATCGCCAGCAAATGCTGGTCGAAAATGGTTCCGCTGAGTTCGAATGCCACACGTACGTCAAAGTACCCCTCGGATCCATGCGTGGCTCCATCAACAAGCAAAGAGAACCCCCAAACATTGGACAAAATGATACGTAGAGCAGTCAGGTTGATGGCTACCAGAGAGCGGATGTACCGACCAACTATGTATTCAGTGGGTCGACCTAGTCTGGAATTTTTAAGAGCTTCACCAAATACCCCAAACACACGCGTAATAGAACGAAAGCTCACCATAGCATTGGAGCATTTAATAACGGTTTCAAATTGGAGTCGATCGGGGATCACAAGTAGGTGCTTGGAATCCGTTTCTTCTACAAATTCGTCTGCCTCCACTCCAGCTATGAAGTCATCTTGAAGTACAGTGTCAACACTGAGTGCATTTTCAGCACCGCGTATATTGTCAACACCGAGTATATTGCCGGCACTGAGTACAACATCAGCAACCACTCCGTCGCCATTAAAATAGAGCTCGCGAATTAATTCGACAATGCCATTGGGGATTTCGAGATGGCAGCTGCGAGTCCCACCAAGAAAAGAATCCATCATTGTAGGAAGATCGAAAAAACTAAGACGCAAACGACTTCCATTTGGTAGTGAAATGAACTCTTCATATTTAGTCTTGTGTTGATCTTTCATGTGGCTGATGATGTTGTCTCTGCGAAAGGATCGGAAGGCTTTTTTAGTTGTTGCTTGTTTTCGCTTTTCATTTGTCAACAGGGCTTCGAAGGGACCGGCAGCGTTTTGCGGCTTTTCCTCTCTTCCAAAAGCAATACAAAACTTGCATAGCGCCTCTGACACATCTCCACTGAGTGTTGGCACAGGCTGTATACCAAGTTCTATCTCGTAGGACGGAAGATAGCGCTGACGAGGATCTGGCTGCTTGAGTTTGGCTTGTTTCAGCTTAAGTGGACGAGGCATTGGCCGTGGTGTACGCGTTTTTCCTTTCTTCTTCTGTGGAGACATGGTGCTCGGCAAAGAAAACTCGAAATGAGAGGAGAATAGAAGAATGAACAGGGCGGGGCCGTTTTGAAACCGACGGGGTTCCGAGTACA